TAAATCCTACAAAACTATGCCAACAAATCCTAAACATTGCAATAAAAGTATACTCTAGTACAAGAGATAGCGTTTTCAGCTCAGTGTCTTAATCCATACCTTTCAGAGTTGCTTTCTTAAGTACCTTCATTGCATAAAGCTGGCCAGCATCAGATCCTTTGATCTTCCTCACCAGAAAGACCTACAAAAATAAGACATTTATGTAATCAAGTACTGTGGTTTGAGGGGAGAGCATTTGCTGAAGTTGATGAAGTAATGGATACTGAGACAGCAAGAATTCTAAGGAAAAGTTAATAGCTCAAAGTGTTTAGTTTTTACTTCACAAACAATTGGCTTAGCTGGCCCTTGTAAGCTTCATTTTCTACCCTATTGCCCTCTCCTAAAGGTGACATGTTTAATATTATCAGTTCTTTACACATCCAGTTAAAGCTGGTTGAATAGTAACAGTGTTTGTAAACGTTTGATTTCTGAACAGCTATTTCACATGAACGTCTGGAGAATGGATGTTCTTTGAGTAACTGCTCTATTTGCATGAAAACAAGATATTTGCCATTTGTGCCCAGATGTGTTCAGCCCATTTAAAGAGGTTTAATCATTTGACTCAGAGAGAAGAAGCCATATTATGCGATTCATTATTCATGATTGACAATCTGAGCATGTAGTTGAATAGTTCATTAACAATCCAGAAGTTGACATGTGTGTGCATAAGTATTGTAAAATTGCGAAGATCAAAGTCTGTTCATGAAAACTTCATGAACAGAAAAAAGGGCTACATTTGATCAATGAATTGGTCACCAATACAGATAGTTTGCCCAGCGTACATCTGAGAGAGGTTCCTATTATTACACCTTTTGACTCTGAAAATACAAAATACATGTTTTTGTTTTATTGTGTGCAGCAATTTCTTCCTATCTAGTCCCAGATGAATTTTTGGGACAAAAGGGAAAGGGAGAAATAGGCAATTTAGTTCAGTCACTATAAGCCTCCCAAAACTTAGTTTGAAGATTTACAAACTATTCATACCTCCTTGGTATATCAATAAGGCAAGAAGTCTCTGAAGAGCATGGTCTTTCAGTCAATTTCCAGTATAATATTGGTTCCACATGGGCCAGAAATATAATCAGAGAAGCTGT